AAAGGAGTGTAGAAGACAAATCTGCTAAATGCTACCTGGCAACGCGGAGACAGACGAAACTCTGTCCATTTACACACAAGTCACCGCGATATGCGGGGAGCGCCCTCTAGGGGCCGTGTAAACATTCATTTACTGCTAAACTGCGTAACGAAGGAAATGTCATATTTTAATTGGCCGAATGGAAATGAAAAATATGTTTTAGCCGGATGTTGCCAACCACTATTTATATCAAATATACATTATGTAAATACAATATACAATATTCAGGTATTATCCAAAACAGTGACGTGATTTTGTGGTTGTTGCATTATTTATTTTTTAGTCGGGCTCAGACGTACCCACAACGAACGAAAACAGGCAAATGAGAAATCATCATTCTTTTTTCAGAAACGCGACAACAAAGACATACCGGGCACCATTGTTTTTTGTGTGTGGGGGGTGTGTGTTTTAACTAATTGTCAAGTCCTACAATTTCTGTACGAATAACTGGCGTAATTCGGTCACATAACAATCACGCCGTTCAGGGTCCATTGCTCACAATTATTAAGAATACGGTAATTAAACAGTTTTGATTATTTTTAGGATTGTGTGCTGTGCCCGACTGTGTGTGGCCATGGTGATATTTTAGGTATTTATATCTCAATCCAAATGTCTATATGTTACGGAAAATTATTTTTCGAACACTATCACTAGGTGTTAATATTTTCCCCGTATTATCAAACTACCAACTGACAGACAAATGCGCATGTGCAGGTCAAATATCCCCCTTTCTCTCTAAATGAAATCTTACCTATAACTGTCATAGATGCTTGTTTATATGGTGGATTTGCATTGAAGAGCGCACACTGATATGTGTGTGAATCACTGACTTGAACACTTGGTATCTGTAGAAAGTATTCACCATTGGAATGGTCTCCTACTATCTGGTAGGGAGCCAATACTGATGTTCCATCTGATAACTGCATGTCACTGCTACCAGGTACCACTCTAAACCATGTAGGTTGTCCACTTGATACTGTACATTTCATCACCACTGTCTCCCCTACATATGTCAATGTATCCTCAGGACCAATCAGAATATCAGGAGATTGCGCTGTTGATAATACTAAAATGATTTGGTTTTATTATTACCATTTTATTACATGCCATTGTAGTTTTAAGTTAATGCGTGAAATAACGGCAAAATGCCATCTTAAATTAAAGTTATGGCAAAACATACCAAAAAAACATTGTGTATTGAAGTTATAGCACGGTAGTATAATAAAAATGCTACTCTGTAGTAATGTAATACTTTAGTATCAATAAATCATATCATTGAAACTTTAAATTATGTCATGATAAAATGACCACATCTCTCTGTGTATTGAAGTGGCAGCATGATATAATTAAGGAATAAACCCCGTCCTCCAGAGATGAGTATACTCCGAGATTTGAACCAGTTTCACGGTATATACACATAGGCATTGCGA